CGTTTAGTCAATGCTACGAAATCGCAAATAATATTTATGTATGTGTATTATTATATAAATATTAATTTAGTTATTGAAGGGTGTGAGGCTAAATTGGTTGCATGTAGTTATTGTTGGTTGTTAGCTTGTGTTCAAGGGACTTCACTAAAGGGGTTCCTACCCACTGCTTGTGTGGGCTTAACTAGCTTAGTTTGGCTTTTTCTTGGTTTGTTGTTGTTGCAGCGCGTCTATTTGCCACCAAGTGTCTACTTGAGCTGTGTACTTGAGCATGGTTTTCAGTTTTATTAATATAACTGTTTGTATATATACAATTGCGATCAAAATTATAGCAGTAGTATAGTAACTCGTATTGAAAATCATTTAGCTTGGATTAATTAATTATTGCTATTTTTTTGTCTCACAATAGAAGTTCCTACATTAAATTCTTACTTAGTGATCTTTGAAGAAATTCTTAGCTACAAATGTAACTCATTCACTGCGATCCACACTTATTTTTCGTCCTTTCAATCACGAATTCCATATTCATGTTATGTGCTGTGGATTTCGGGCTGCTATCGGGGCCTTTCGTTCAATGTTCATCGAATATTGAACGCCGTCACAATTTTTTATTGGAAATCAACCTGAAACCAACTTTTTTTGTTGATGCATAAGAATTGAGCCGTTAGAGGTCCACTTGAACAATACGCTTGTCAAAATGTAAGATCTAAGTGCTATTAATACCTTTCTTGAAATCCGTTTCTAATCGCTTGTAATCAAACAAAATTGCGGCATTGAGAACGAAGAGCAGCCTGAATAGATTCAAAAGCTGTCATCACATTCATAAAAATCAACGGTTTGGTGTGGTTTGTGGGGCGATGGAATCATCGGTTCATTTTACTTCAAAAATTATGACGGTTAGAACGTAACCATACATTAAAGCTCATGATCTCGGCAATATTCGATTCCAACAAGACGGCGTCACTTCCCATACATCACATCAATCAATGGATTTATTGAGAGAGCACTTCGGTTTGCAGATAATTTCACATTTTGGGCCGGTCAATTTAGCCACCAAGATATTGTGATCACACCGTTTCCTGTGGTGATTTGTATTGGAATCGTCGATATAGAATCTAGCATATAGCTGCACTACAAACTGTTAGATGGATATGGAGTTCTTGTATGGACAACTATTTAATTTGACCAGATATTTTATTAAAATTTGCAACGGTTTATTGTCTAAAGCTAAGAGTGCAATCTCCGAGCAAAGATCAGACGACTATAGCATATAGCTACTATACAAACTGTCCTATCAACAACAAGAGCTTCTATGAAAAACTTTTTCATTTGACGAAATTTGTTCAATAAAATTGAATTATTATCTAAGATAAGGTTGCATTCTCCGACAAAATTGTTCAGATCGGATCACTCTAGCATATAGCTGGTCGAAACTAAGAAAAATATGTAATTTTCACAAGACTGCGATTACTTTAATCACAAATCTATATACTACTTATGTATATAAAGAAAAAGGAATTTTATGTAAGGTAACAGCTGTACATAGAACCTTATATAAAAACATTAGCTAAAGCCCTGTCATTTAAAGCTTGGCTTGGCTGCATGAAAATGGCTTTTTCACTATAATATTATTGCATGCTTTTGTTTTTGTATTTTTATGTATTTTTTTTTTGTTTTTGTTTTTGCATTTTACACTTTAGACACTTTGTTGAGTAGAATTGTTGTTACAGATAATTTAATCCATTTGTTTATTTCCATTTGTACATTTCATTCCGTCAAAATTTTTTCACTTTTCAAATTGTTTTCATTCTATTCCGCCTAAAGCCATATTACGTCAACTAAATGTAGGCATGAGAAACGAGCGATCGAAAACGACCATCGAACCAACGACACGCCGAACAACCTGTATAAGTACAATGGCAATTGGCGCAGGTAAGCAGCAGTAGACAATAACAACGATGACACCAAAAGATAGAAAAGCAGAGGAAGCAAGCAAGTTATGTACATTCATATGTATGTGTGTATGTATTTTTGTTGTTTGGCCTGGAAATGAGCGACAAGCTACGAGCTGCAGTTAAACAACAAAGTAGCGAACAACGAGCGTGTGGGAATTTGGTGTCAATAATGACTGTTATTTGGTGTTGTTGATGAAGTTGCTTTGCTTTCGTTGTTGATGAGCTAAGAAAGTTAAATTAGCATTTCAAATAGGTATAAATTATGGTATCAGTAACTGCTTATTGAATTTAAATGCTTTTAGTATATTTTTTAGCGCTTCAGGAGGCGATCGCCCAGAAGCAGCGAGTAGACAAGCAGCAGGCATTCAATTTTCAATTTGGACAGACAATTCGTAACAAGAAATTGTATAAAAAAACACACAAGAGTTGAACTTTGTATTTTTTTTTTAATATTATTAATATTATTTTTAGGTTTTACTAATGAAAAAAAAACAATGCAAATGTGTTTAATTGCCAATTGTAAGGCAGCAAGAAAAGCTGACGCTTCGGGCCCAGCTGAGTCTGTGGCACTAGTGTTAAGAAACACTTGCTGCCAGTAACGTGCGGTTTTAGTTTAGAATATTTTTATTTTTTTTTTTTTGTTAAATTTTGCACACTTTATTTGTTGTTTTTGTATATTTATATGGTTATATACATAAGTATTTATACACATTTCATTATGCACGCAGCTACAGCCAGCTATTTACATAAAACTTATACCACAATATCTCAGTAAATATATTTATATACATATGTATGTACATACATACATATATACACTTAATATATATGTCAGCGTCTGTAAGCAAATTAGCACTTCGATTTTAGCAAACGTGATAGCTGCGAATTTTCTCACTGCCAGGCCGCACACACGCACCACAATTTGGCCACAACTTTTTTGCAATGAAATTCCTTTTTTCTTTAACAGTAATTGCACAATTTTGGGTATTTTACAATATTTTGCTTTGACCAAAACTTTTTTCTTTCAATTTATGCTAAATTTTCCATCAAGCAGCGCATCAACAAACTAGATTTGTATGTATGTATAATTTTGAACACTTTCTATGCACTGCAATACCTTTAAAAATTTCTCAAACGCGCCTCAACGTTCTTCTAACTAAGTTTTTATATTATTTTTGCTTTGTTTTCTGCTTCTTAAACCGTACAATCAATCGACTGGGCGAGCGTGAGAATTGAAACTGAGCTAAGCTATTTGACAAGCAGTCAAGTAAAGCCATTATTGTAGCTACGAGTAGCTCACACACTTACACACACATACACTTATAAATGCATAAAAACGGCGCTATATACCGTGCTTTCCATGTGAGTAGACAATTCCAAGCCGCAATCGCGCTCTGTGCGCCTTCCAATCACCCACAATGCAAAATCTACTACTTTGAAGGCAGTAAGCACATATGTGCCTACTTATGTGTATGAAGTCACTGTTAGTATACAAACGTGTATGCAGGTGTACTTCCGTGCTACCGCTCTTCCGTCTCCCAACCATTACAATAGAATGTCAGCGCAGAGAGCACTGCTGAGATGTGTACAATGAGCGCTCATTTGTTGTACAAACATACAATACATATGCACATTTATACTTACAAACATACACACACATTTACACATTTATACATACATACTTATCGTATACTACTCACTTTCCACACTAACTCGCTTATCTAACATGTGTAGCGTCGCTCTTCTCCAAAAATAATTGTTAGTTGTTTTTGTTGTACGAGGTTCTTATTGGGCTCCAACTCTTTAACGATACCTCTTGACATCCCTTTCTCAATTTGTAACTGCTGCTGGAAAGAGTACACACGTACATTTTGCATATTTATGGGAGCTTTCTGCACTTGGTTCCATAGTTCGACTGTTTACTCCTGCGCTGATGCTTTTATTGTTGTTGTTGTTGTTGTTGTAAGTTAAACTCGGTTTTGTTATACCCGGTTACTTTACTAATTCTGCGCTTATCAGTTTATTGTGTATAAAAGCTTTGACAAGCTTTCTATTACAGTTAAGAATACACTGTGCTTTTGTGTAGTTTGATAGCCACTGTATAAAAGACTGCAGATTTACATACATATATACATACCTGCTCCTGTACGTAGATAAGTAATTCTGAAGACAGCTTTAATGTGATAAAGAATGCTTGTGAGTACCTTCACTTGATTTTCAACTGATTTTATTTTTTCTAAGCTGAAATATGCACCGTTATTTGAAAACACGTCCTTTCAACTTTATCAAGAAAATTCACATATTGACCGATTTGTGCGGTATAAAGTCATCCGGAAGTTGGGAAATCTTTATGTTAGGTGTATGGCAGCTAAGGTATTATAAACAACCATAGATCTCGGATCCTTTTAAAGTGGTCACATGCCATCTCGGGGTATATGTTATGTCTCTGAAGTATTTAGATATTGATTAATGGCGCTTTTAGTAGTTTTTAACATTACCGTTATATGGGTAGTGGCTAACCATCTGTCCTAATTGCATTACAGCTGTATCATTTAGTGGTCCGATGTCTGCGGTTCCGACAAATGTGTAGCTTATTGGAGAGAAAAGAATGTGCGCAAAATTTCAGCTCGACGTCTCGAAAACAAATGGGTGAAAATGGACTCAGCTCGTCACGCTGGTCATTTAAATGTACAACTTGTAGAACCTTCGCCGTTTCCTTGCGAGTATTACGCACTTTATGTGGAATTTAATATATAAACTGCTCAGGTTATACTAAATCCTTATAGCCACAGCTGCAATACGGAAGGCCTACACGCTTTGATAACAATTGAGATTTGAGATTGGCGAACCCTCGGTAGTCCAATATCTGTTGCTACAGAGTATTATAGTTTTGTTCACCTAACGGTTGTACGTAACACCCGTCATTAAGTGAGACAGATATAGGATTATATGTATAATGTATAAAACGGTCAGGGTGATGAGAAAAGTTGAAATCCGGTTGTCTGTCCGTTTGTTCGTCCATCGAGATATCTCGATAAAACTTGGTATGTGGGTCTTTTAGTACACAAAAATTTCGAGTTCGTAGACCACTGCCACGCCCACAAGTAGTCATTAACCGAAAACAAATAAAGTGTCATAACTAAGCGCTAAATTAATAATTAGTAATTAATTTACTTTTTTCAATTTTATTAAAAAAAAAAAAAACGCTAAATTGAAGTCATAAACCTGTTAACTGGTACAGAGAAATGCAGTAACAAGGGGCACCCATGGGCAAAAGTTTTTGAAAAAGTGGGCGTGGCCCCGCGCTCTAACTAGTATAATGTTCATATCTCCTAAACCACTTTGGCTACAACAACCAAATTTGCTGAATCTTATAAGAATCTCTACCGACAGTGTGGAAATGGAAGAAATCGAAGGATAACCCCGCTCACTTTCCATATAACGGTACTGTTAAAAACTACTAAAATCAATAACTAAATACGTCAGAGGTATTAGATTTTACCACTGTTATGGTATGCGAGTGCTTTAGAGAAGCCGGTGTTAAAATCGGACGATGGGCGTGGCGCCGCCTACTTTTTTTAATTTCATATCTCGGCATCCGACCAACCGATTTCGACAAAATTTAGTACGTGGGATTCTTCATGCATTCTTATGTCACGAATGGACGAAATCGGACAACAACCGGGCCTCCTTCCCATATAACACAATTTTGAATTCCACTTGAATCATTCAGTTTCCAGTACACAAATCAAGTAATATAACGAAATACAACTTCGCACGAATAATGTTTTTAGTGTGTGCCACGTTATAGCCAAAAATAGTTTAAATCCAATAAAGATTGTTCAAGCCCCTAGGTACAGAGTATTTAGAACCCGATACCTACAGTAGACTTTTTATTGAAAATGTCGTTCAATGTGTGATATTACTAATTAAATGAAGGAATAATACTTCTATTTTAATGGTTTGTATCAATACTTGCCTTAGCCTCCATATATGTACTTAATATAAAGATTTTCGAACTTGCGGGTGACTTTGTATAAGAGACTGTTTTACTCATAACAGTGTATCTTTGTGCCGAAATTAGATGCATTTCAGCGAAAACTTGATCTAGCCCCTATATAATTACTTTGCTGACTTTACTCTATATGATTAGTTTTACACTTTAAAGTTTTTCCGTGACTTTGATGCTTGCAAGTTGCAAAAGTATAAAATGTTCGGTTGCACTCGAATATAGCCTTTCCTTAATTGTTTCATCTAATATTTAAGAAAATAAAATTGAATAAAGAAGCAAAACGAATGGATTTGACGGAGAAAAAGGTATTGTCTCAACAATCGGCTCAATGCAAGCGAAACGGATGCGAGCGTATTTCCGACCGATGAACTTGGACTTCTTTTGGAGTGTGACTCTATTGACCAAAATCACTTTCCTAAGGAAGCCAAGCAACGACCATTTCTATTATTATTTCACCTCGATTTATACTATTCGTTATCGACTGCAGCATTCGCCGTTGTCAATACGCAAAAGACTATAAATCTTTCATAGAATCTTTCTCTCGAAAACTTATAACATCGAGTCAACAGACGTTATCATTGTCCATGCCCCCGCACCATATAGCATTACGACTATGATGAGCGAATTGTAAAGTTTGATCTTTTTGCGTCGAGAGAGGACTTCACTTCTCAATTGCCTACTCAGTCCGAAGTAGCAGCTGTTGGCAAGAGATATTCTGCGCTTGATTTCCAGGCTAACATTCTTATTAGTTTTAATGTTGATTCTAAGATGGACGAAATTGTCTACGACTTCAAATTTTTGACTGTCAACAGTAACATGAGAACCAAGTCGCGAATGTTTATTGGCATGGATATTTCGTCTTGACCTTGTTCACTGAGTTATATGTGTACCATTATTGCTTGTATTCCGATTCTCTGGGTGACCATTTGAACTCTAAGGTATTTCCTTGGCTTTAGTTCTTTCCAGTTGCAATAGTACCAAGTTGCACCCATTAAGGGTAGAGCGTTGGAAAAGAAACAGCTTCCATAAAATAATAAAATAAATTGGTTTTGAACGGGTTCCGAACTTTTCGCCCACAGAGTAATGTTCACTTGTTAGACTTGCTCTGCTATGACTCGCTTAGCGAAAAGTATAATATATTCTTTTAATATTGATCTTTTACAAGGAGAAATTATATTTCTTTTCAAATTAATTGGTAATTTTTATGTACTACCATCTAAGTATGCAGAAATACACATATGCCTTACATACACATACATATACACAATCGATAAAGCTATTATTCAATTCAAATAATGTTCGATAACTTTCATTAATTAAATACTTGACCAATTGCGAGATCCAAACAAGAGGCATCAACTGAATTCAGAATATCTGACATTTGCATTTAACTCTCAACAACTGCCAGCAGGCAGCAGAGCAGTTAATTAAGATATTGCTAGATATTGGAAATGTGGACATCTGTAGATATGTATACATGTGTGGTAAGCATTGTATAATCTCATAATATATGGTCATCTGCAAAATCACGTCGTTAGCGACGATCTTCTGCCATCAAATTCACAAATGAAGAACTGCTGGCGAACGTATGTGTGAATGTGTGTGTCCATATAAACATGTAGGAATTCACTATAATTCATATATCCATTACATTTGTATTTATAATTACGCTTTGTATATATACAGTTACTTTGGCCACGCCACTCACCCATTGGCGCACGAATGAGTTACGAGTAACAGCTGTGCAGTGGACACACCGACACAAACCGACTACAACTTTTACTAAATGCGCTATCATTATAACATAACAAAATCTTTGTCTGTACTAGGGTGGCGCCTTGGGGCCCAACACTGATAGGTTAGGTTAGTACCCATGGTTGATCTATGTAGTATATTTAGTAAATTATTTTGAATCCAAGTAGTTCATTTAGATGGCTGAAAGTATGAGCTCTGAGGGTTTTTAACTTTTATCTCCAAAAAGCTGCCCATTCAAGAGGGCGGTTCTTCGGCTTTATCAAAAAAACAAAAAAAAAAAAAAAAAAAAAAATACCGAAAACTGACATCTGATAAAGTAAGCGGTGAGGTTATAGCTTGGATAATGTGCACGAATTGCTCCCTAGACTTCTTACGGTATAACTAAAGCCTAAGACTAAGACAAAAAGACAACAGCTCTGCGTCTTCTTATTATGTTGATATTAGGATAAAAGC